AAAAAAAAAAAAAAAAAAAAAAAAAAAAAAGAGCCTGGGATGCTATTTGTGATATTTTGTAAGACATGCTCATCTTTTCTTTCTGGATGCACCTATTATAGTGATTATGAATCATTAACTAACACTCATGAATAGCTCAGCCCTCCCTCCTGCCCGCCCCTTCTTTTCTCAGCCCTTCTTTCCCAGCTCCTGCCTCGTCTTCCGTTCTTTCTTCTCCAGCCCTAGCTGTTTGGTTCTCTGGCTTCCTTTGCACAAAGATAATTACCATCGGTGAACAGCTCTACAACATTCAGACGGACCTGATGAGATGCAGACTCTGAGGATTCATTTTTTTCCTCTGCTCCGTTTATTAATAGGCACAGGTTTGACATTACCTGAAATGAGGTGGTTTTTTTTTAAAACTGCACAAGGAGACGTTCATTTTTGCTCCTCGTGGAAGGAAGTAGGGCAAATATCAAGGCCCAATGTTTTTGCCCTTCATCAAAAAATGTCTTTTAGACACCAACTCAGAGCCTCTCAACTAGACCAGAATCCATCACCACAGTCAGTCCTAGAGAGGAAAGTGCTGGTGAGCAAGCAAAGACCACTCAGCTCACAGAGGGCCAAGTCTGGCTTGACATCCTCACTAAAGAAAATGACCCTCCCGTGGGAGCTTTGTCTGAAAATGGGGTATGGGAAAGAGGCCAGGTCGAATGTATATGTTCACAGGTTTGGGGTTTTTTTTTTAAAAAAAAAAAAAGTTCAACAAACGCACTGAAAGCAAGTTGCCAGTTGAACCTCAGACTCAAATGATTTTTCATTGCCGACATATGGCATTGGCATTGACTTAGGGGAACAGATCAGATAGAAAATATAATCATAGTTAATTCCATGTGTTTATAATTGTGCCTTTGATCTACAGAGTGTGAAGTGCTTTGCCAACATCAGCTTACTGATCTCCCTCACCACCTTCTGTGACATGGATGGGGCTGCTTTTATCCCCTCACTTCACTGAGAAACTAAGAAGTAAAATGTCTAAAGTCATCAGCTTGTAATGATGAAGCTAAGAAAAGAGCCTGCCACCCACGGATCCTGTCTAATTCAGTTTCCTGACTATTAGGGCTCAGCTGCTTCCACAGGGGTTCAATAAGCAGCTTAGCTCTTGGCTAGCTCCTCTCCAGACAAATGGCCACAGGGATAGGCAAGGGGTATGCGAAAATTTCGCTCTGATCTGACATTCATTTTAATGTACAAGCGTCAAATTTTTATTTCTTTTCTTCCACCGTTTAGCATTATCAGTTTCTTGAATACCCAAGAGACATTTTATACGAAGACACAGAGAATATACACAGTAATTGTATATATAATTAAGCTTTCTTTGTGTGTGAGTTTTTTGAGTTTTGTATAGGAATAGAAGCTGCTCGAATGTAAACAAAATTATAAAAACTGACAGTAATTGTGTAGAAGTATTCCTTGATAGTAACAGTGGTGAGCTTTCTAGAAAGTTTCCAGTGTCGGGTCAGACTGGCTACGTTTCTTTGATAACGTTCCCACAGGGCTCAAAAATGCAACTGTTGCTTATCAAAATAACTCTAAATACCTAAAATTTTCTATTTCTTCGTCTTTTTCTGAAAGCTTTCTTCCAAGTTCTGCTTTAGTTTCCAAGAGTTCAAGCTGGAAATGAAGAATCTTAATTGCCTTACATTCCAGAGCTCCCTGAAATACATAAATGAAAAGCACTAAATTAAGTCCACTTTTAGACAAAATCTTTTTCTTCACAAAACGTACGTCACGGATGTAGCTCTCTTTAGAGTTGCTGGGAAAGATCTAAGTTCAAATCAGGTCCTTGAAGTTGAGAACAGGAAGAAACAAGTGATTACCTTTGTTTGTCATGCTGTGGTGGGCAGTTAGACAGACGTGAGCAGAGCAAGGACAAAGGGCCAGGTGCAGGTCACCAGGGTGGAAAGCCCCAGATGCGTAACAACTTGCAAACCTGGGAAAACAAGGACTTTGTTTTCCCTAGCTTATCTTTCCTCCCCGAGCATCTCTCTCTAAAATCAATAAAAACAGTTTATGAAAAGGGCACAAGGGTGATGACAATCTATCCGTCAGTTAACAATTGGCAGACAGTCCTGAAGGAAGGAGTAATTTTTATGGTAGCCTTTTATGAGGAGTGATTAGCACATACCACCAAAAGTAAAAATTAAAACTGAGTAGCAGTGTGGATGAAAAGTGGCCACATGCTAAACCTGACAAGCTCAGGGAAGGCCTGCATGGTGGCCTTGCCAACTCAGAGACCTAAAGGAACCACAAAAGATGGTCTGAAATTAAAACTTTTTAACTAAAAGTAGTCTATGGTGGGTAGTCACCTCTTCAGGCAGAATTTTTCCTTCACAAAGGTTAATTTTCACCTTAACTAAGCCTGTCGGTTGCCTTTTTTGCATCTGAGATAACATACCTGATTAACACGCCTTTGCAAACAAAGTAGTTTCCTTTTTCCTGGCTCTCAATGCATCAGGGCAGAGACCAGGAACGCTCTCATTGTTATTGTTACCGTGTTAACCACCCTGTACCCACCTATGTAAAAGATGTGTCTATCACTTTACTTTTTATCCAATCCCAGAGGTCGCCCCCACCCCCACTTCGCTTTCTCCCACCTCCCTATCACCAACAGATTTCATGTAACCCACCTACAGCTCCTCTTTGGATTGTAATGTATAAAACAAGGTGCAAAACTGCCATTCTCAGAGCATTATCTCAATCTGTTGTGATTTTGCTTCCCGGAAATTGTCTGGCTCAAATAAACAGTTTGGCTCAAATAAACTCACAAAAATTCCTCACTGGTTTGACTGTTTCTTACGTTAACAGCAATTTCGAAACAAAAATAAGAAAGACGTTGAAAAGTTTAATATGGCTTAAGGTCTCGCTGCTGTTCTCTGAACACTACCTTCAATATAAAAGGAAATAAATCAAAACCAAATGCTTGGATAGCAATTTCCTCCTAGGGAATAGCACCCTTCCTTTCTTCAGGGGAAGCTGTCACCTCTCACCCTCCAGGCTGCACTGAGAAAGTGAATCTTTGGAGAAGGTGACCTGGGATAATTTGAGTTTTGTGACTTCAAAGATAATCTGATAAAGTTTCTCATAAAGGCTCACCCAGGAAAATAAATAACCCAATTTTACAAATACATGTCCAAGTTGATGAAGTATTTATGGATGTGGCTGAAGACGAAGCTTGAGAAAATGTGAATAGAATAGAATGCCATCTAGTGGTACTAAATGGTACGAGTGCTATGGGCTTCATAGTCTCATCTTGGATGTGAGTGCCAGTCAATTTAATATACAAAGATGTCTATGTTATAGAGGACTAAAATTACCTCTGGCCAATCATGCATCTCATTGGGTTGTCTTGATGCTTGAACTTTCTACCACAGAAGTTACTTCTTTGGGTTAAGGAGGTAGCTTTAGAAAGTTCCTAGCTAGGATGCCCAGAGAACCAACCAAAGGGAACAAGTGAATGAAACAAGGTTTACCAATTTTACAAGGACCAGCCTTGCTAGGGAACTCCACGCTGCTAATTGCAGGGATTCTAGATAAAATGTAGAAGACTTTGGAAAACAATTATGCATCAAAAGGCAAGAGCTGGGTCAAGAGCTGTCCACTTGACAACCGTACATGCAAGAGTAATAACACGGCTTCTGTGGGGCAGGCTCCTTGCAGAAATGCAGTGATGAGATTAATAGACACTGCTTGGCTCGAAGCAGTGCTCTGGGGGCTGATTTTTCCATTACCACACTTTCAAAAGGCCCCTTCCTAAAACGTCTGACTGCTGTGTCTTCTAAAAATCACTGTCTCTATTGGAGGGTGAGTGAGTGGGACTGACTGCATTTCAATAGGACTGGGTGCTCATTCGAAGGGTGGGTCAGCAAATGAAATTCAGCTGTGAGAAAAGAGGCGCTGCGGGCTAATTAACTACTTAATGGCTGTGACGCAGTGACTTCCTTTTTAGTTCACCCTCTTTGACAGAAGGTCTTCTCAGCAGCCCTTTCAATCACACCTGGGGATAAAATCAGAGTTTTTCTGAATTTTTAATCCATGCCACTGAAAACATCCCTGTCAAAGAGCGCACACAAAATGAGCTTTCAGAAACAAATTATCTCAAGTGTTTCTGGGGGAAAAAATAAATGTGTTGACTGACTCTGTTTTGAGAGGAGGAATTATGAGGATATTTATTTTCAGTCAACAAATATTTATTGTACCTCTACTACACAGGTGACAATGTTCTAGGCCAGTGCTTCTCAAATGTTAATGTGAACATGAACTACCAAAGGATCTGGTTAAAATGCAGATTCTGGCCCTGGCCAGTGTCCTCAGTGGTTAGAGCACTGAGTTCAATTCCTGGTCAAGGGCAAGTACCTGGGGGCAGGTTCAATCCCCAGCCCTGGTCAGAGTGAGTGCAGGAGGCAACCAATCAATGTGTCTGTCTCACATCGATGTTTCTCTCTCTCTTTCTCTCTTCCCCCCTCCCTCCCCTTCCACACACTCCGAAAATCAATGGAGAAAATATTTTCGGATAAGTTGGTGAACAAGGTAGACAAGATTTCTAAGTTTTATTTATGCCTCTGAGAGTAATGAACTTGCTCCCAGGGCATCTCTGGGTTTCCATGCACATCACTGTTGGTGCTGGTATAAGCTGGCAGCCTCTCTCAAGGGCTGCTTGGCATTATCTCAAAATTTAAAAATTCCTTTAACCCAGCAATTTTATTTCTAAGACTTAATCCTACTGAAATATTTTTCCATGTCCACAAATATATTTTTCCATGTCCACAGGGATGTATAATATAGGATTATTTGCCATTGTGAAAAATTATACCTAAAGTGAATAAAGTCTATTTAAATAAGTGTTAGTCACCCATATAAAACACTATGTAGCTATTGACAATCACCTGGTAGGTCTCCATGCAGAGTCACAGGCACACAGGAAGGTGCTGAGTCCAGGACTTAAGTGTGTACACACCAGGGTCAAACTCAGATCTGCTACTTGTCGACTGTGAATTTGGACCAGTTCTTAATCTTATGTGACTCAATATAGCCTGCATTTCACAGATTTTAAAAACTGACAGATAACACTGCTCTGAGAATTATTAAACAATAAATAATTGTATATAAAACAGTGCCTGGCACGTTGTATAGGCTATAGAAATATTCAATTAGAAAATATATTGATAAATGAAAAAATAAAAGGTGTAGAATGTGTAATTTGAGGAAAAAATACATGCATGGGTACATGCATGGGTACATGCATGGAAAATCTTGGTAATGCTATGGATATAGAAAAATTATTAATTGTGGTTGCCTTTACAGAATAGAATTTGGGCTAAAGATAGAAAAGTAGTCTTATTTTTAGAATAAAAATAATATTGGTAAGTAAAAAATATTTTTAAGTATGAAAAAATGGAAAAGTTAAAGCCTGAGTGGGGCCACACCAATATTGAAGCTTCGGCCCACAGAGCACAGCCTTGCCCTTGCAGCCAGGGCCCCCCCAGAGCTCCTTGCTCCCCCCTGGCTCCCAGCCCAGCTCAGAGTACCTTGCAGGGTCTTGTTCTTCCTCTGGAGGGTCCGGTTGCTCTCCTCATAGGCGTGCTTGGCCCTGAGGAGCTCGGTGCTGAGGGCCTGGGTCTCTTTCTGAGAGGCACCCAGCGTCGCCTGAGCCTCCTCGTGCCTCTGCCTTCCAGTCGTCCAGGCACCTGTCAAAGTGCCGCTGCTTCTGGTCCAAGGCGGCTGCCACGGAGCACAGGGCGTCCCCGAGCTCCAGCTGCAGTCGGTGCCTGACCCTCTCTAGGGAGGCATTTCTGACACTGGCCACCTCATGGCTTCGGCAGCCTCCTGCAGCCTAATTGCCAGCTTCTTCCTGAGAGAGGGGGACCCAAAAGGCAAGTGAAGCCACAAGGCTAAAGAGCTCATCCAGTTCGTACTTGATTCAAGATGGCACTTGGGGACAAAACAGGGTGGCCCCTGAGGTTGGCTTAATAATATGAGGTAGAAGCAGCCTCAAATGTTTCTGAAAATGACCTTCTTGTTTTCATAGAACTCAGATGTCTCCTGACCACCGTCCTCCTGCTCCTGTGTCCATGGGTCATTTATTTTCCCCTACCCCTTTCCAACCTGGGCTTAGAACTGAGGACCTCTGAATCCCTGTGTTTGCTCGCCCTCAACCTTAAATAAGCAATAAAGCATACAAACTTTATTGATGATTTCATAAGAAATGGAAGAAAGAGAAAGACTGTACTGAATACTCCACCAACAGTAAGCAACTATCAAAAATCCTTAGGCACATCTGTCTCTAAAGATCTCCTTGGCTGTGTTGCTTCCAAAGAACATCTGTTGGCTCTCCCCTGCAGTTCCCAAACATGCCCAAATTATCTCTTCTCTCTGAATGTCTTTTCCACCTCAGATCCTCTGCCCAAATTTATATACCCAAATCCATCTCATTGTTAAGCTCATTTGACAGGTCCCACTGCTCTTAGGGAGTATCTTAGCCCCCACCTGCATCTCCTGAGATGGAGTGGTTTATTAAGGTGCCTCTCCACCATCCCCACAGTCCAATGCTTTGGGGCTTTCAAATGGATGAAATGTGTCCTCCTGTTCACATCTCCTGCAGGGACACAGGTAGTCCCATTCTTACCCGCACATTACATTTCTTAGATAAAGGATACTATAAGTACCAAAGCTTCTTCTCATCTACTATTATTAAACAGAAAAATGTCCTCAGGAATTCACATGCGCCACACAACTAGCCCAATAGAGCAATGTGAGCACAAAGCCCCATTTTGGTGGAATCCTGCAAAAGCCAGTCTGTGCTCAACATCCAGGAAGGAGCTGGGCTCTCACAACTTTTCTTTGCTTACTGCTTTCTAAACACCTCATGTCTCTGCTTCATTTTTCTTAGCCGTGAAGAGGAGATTCTGACATACTGCATCCTGACCATAGACAACGATACTGTACTATATACTTGAAAGTTGCTGTGAGAGTAGTTTTAATGCTCTCACCATAACAACAACAACAGATGGCAATCACGTGGGGTGAAGAATGTGTTACCTAACCTTATTGTGGCAAAGATTTTGCAATATATACCTGTAAAGTCATCACATTGTATATCTTAAACTTACATAATGTGAGATGTACATTACATCTCAATAAAGCTGAAAAAAACAGGATGTTTTATCCCACCTAAAACAGGAGTCAAATAAAATAATTACATGTATTTTTTAAACTACTTTAGAAATGCTCACTTGGTACCAGAAAAGAGGAATTTTACTTTGATTGACCAATTCTGCTGATTTGCCCACAACTAAGGGGTTTCAGCAGAATGTAGCACTATCAGGCTAAGATCAGGCTTGTCTGGGACAAACTGGACAAGTAGTCACCCTTTTTTCACTGATAATGTTCTACATTGAATACAGGCTACCACTTTGCCCCTCAACTTGATAATCATAAGTACCTACTTAGTTGTCTAAAACATACAGGGGGATGTGGGAAATTAAGAAACCAAATTCCTATCCTTGGGGGATTTAGAATTCAGAAGCAATAAACTGGGTCTCCGGTGAGCTTGATTCAGCTAAATTAACTCATCATGTGAACTCAGGCCTGGAAATTAGAGACAGATCCTCAACTTTCCAATAAAAATAAAAAAAAAGAATCGTAGGTACTTTTTGTGTGTCTCTACCTCACTGAGGTGATTTAGAGAGGGAAAGCATAACACAGACAATGTTTTATTTAATCGATGTTCAACTCAGTTTAAAGCAAAAATAGCTTTTGCATATTTCCATATTATTTTTCTTTAGTTGTCATGTATGACAGAAAAACAATTTCTTAGTTCCAACAAATCTGTATGGTCATATATACTTTCCTTTTTCTACCCCTCAAAAAAGACCATCAAACAGAATGACTGGTAGGCACTTTCACCCACATTCTTTATATTAGAAGAAAAAATTCTTACATTAGAAGCAAATGCCATATTTTGGGTATGAAGAGTCATTTTAGTTGAAAGCCCCACTTTTCTGTGGTCCAGAGTTTGTAAAACACCTACTGCAGGTATTTTTAGCACCTGCCATTACAAAGCCCTTTGTAAGTTACTGTGGCTACAGAAATGGATCACTTGGTGCCCGTTCTGGGACAGAACACAGCAGTTGTTCAACAACTGCACAGCACTGTATCTCAAAGATTTAGGTGAAGAACTGAAAAATAATATCTTTGGTTGAAGCTAAAAAGAAATGTATTCATCTGCCCTGGATTTTTGCCAAGCTAACAAGCCAGGGACACATTCTTTTGAGTAAATCTTTAATGGTTATAAGCTGGGATTGTTTGACATTCTCTCTCAGAGATACACAGTCTTTCAATCTCTGAGTAAAATGCTTCAGGAATTATAGCCTGGTACCAAGTCTTGATTCACTTGGGCCGCAAACTTCCATAGTTCCTGAGAAGAACTTCGAAAGCCTTCCTGTACTGTTGGCTATAAAATTGATATTCTAACCTTAGAGGTGGCCTGAGAGTCATTTCTTTTCAAAGAAACCTTTATCCCATAAGGCGCAGTGACAGATCCTAACATGTTTTCAACTACCCCTGTCCATCTCCACAGACCAGTTTGTAGTCTACAAGCTGTAGACCAGAGACACAATGACTTCAATTATACAGGCCTGTACAAATATGAACACAGTTACTTTGGTGTTCCAAATGAAATATAGGATTTTAAGTGCTAGCCCATTTTCAAACCATAGTTCAGTCACATCTCCTATGAAGACTTCCCTTGTGCCCCTAGAAAGAGCCTCCTTTCTTCCCCCAGGACCTCTCTATAGTCTTTATCATTTTGTATTATAATTTAATTTTTTTTTTTTTAGCCCTTCTAGAGCATGTGCTTCTTGCCAGTGGTGGCTTTTTCAGCTTTGGTCTTGGGCTTGTTTATATACTTGGCCTAAGGACACAGTCCCTATTTTCATGCTTCTCTGTGTAGCTAACTCCAGGTTCAGGGTCAAGTCACCTTGCTCTACTCACTTGGCATCCTCCAAGTCTTCCATTCTCTGGATGGGAATATCTCCATAATTTATTCTCCACTGCACCATTTCAGCATCACCTTTGGAGAGCCCAGAGCAGCTCAGCCTTGGCCTCTTGTTCGTCTTCATATTGTTCTCATGGAAGCTCAGTCACACCTGGCTGACCTCAGGCACTGGGCTAGGGCGCACTGTGACTACGTGGGACACAATGCACATTGGAAAAAGACACCACCACCATTAAGAACAAAAGGCTCAGAGGTGATATCATTTTTTTTTAGATAAGGTTAATAACAACCTGCCACAAATCCAAGCTGAACCTGAACCTAGTAAGATAATACCAGGAAGAGAACTGGGGACAAGAAGGGAAAGACTAGAGTATCTAATTGCTGCTGTTAAAACAGGAAAGAGAGCTCTATTTAGGGAAATGCCAGCCTGACTATGTGGACTTCAAAAATAGACAGGCCCGGACTCTGGAAAAAGTGGAGAGTGCAAAGGTAGCAAGGAGAACATTCACTATCGTTTAGGCAATAAATGATTTCTATTTAGCAATATAAAAGACTCAGATCTTGTTGGGGCTAGAAAGGACCACTGAGATTTAGCCCTTTCATTCTATTGATGAGGAAAACAACATCTTTTATTTCACAAGTAAATCTCTGACAACATAGCTCATCACTTTAAAACCGCACTACCCAATAGAACTTTCTATAGTGAGGAAAGTATTCTATATGTACACTGTCCAATGTGATAACCACTAGCTACATGTAGCTGCTGAACACTCAAAATGTCCCCAGTACAATGTGTGGCCAATACTGAATTTTAATTTTAATAAATTTTAATGAACATGAATTTAAATTTAGATCATCCCCTTTAGTGTAGTAGTGGCTACTGTATTTATTGGACAGCAGGGCTGAATTTAGTGAGCATTTCTACCACTTCCACGGTGGTCTGGTTAACCTAGCAGCATAGTTCCCAGGAGATAACCTGGTCTAGTGGGGCAAAAAGGGGGTCTCTGCCAGTCCTCATGTGTCCTTTATGCAAATTAGAAAAATGTATTCTTCGGCAGATGCAGCTGAGAACACAAGGCTTAGCCAACGGCAGCCTCAGCCAGAGCCCCGTGGGTGCGGGTGAAGAGCAGCGAGGCACGGCGACCCTGAGAGGCTGCAGGCTTTGGATCCTGATGGACTTGGCTGCAGGTTGGGACCCTTCCTCTTACTTAATATATTTACTGAGCACCTGTTCCAGGCATTAGTGTTCCAGAAGTAAACGGGACCGGGACAAAGTCTTTGCCCTAAAGAGCTAAAAAGAAGTGAGAGGATACCCAAGGCAAACATGTAAACAATTAATAAATAATATCGCTAACAGCAGTGAGACAGCAGCACAGACTGACCTGATCCTCCTCATCCCCAAAGACCTTGCAGGGCCTTCGGGCGACGGCAACGGCAGCTAGCAAGGTCCGAGCGCAGGAACGGTGGCAGCCGGGCCAGGGGCAGAGAGGAGCCAGGGCGGCTGCAGGGCAGCCAACGAGGGAAGCAGGTGGACGAGGGAAGATCGGGAAGGGGCCGCGGCCAGAGCAAGGGGGCCTGTGGGCCAATCGGAAGGCACTGGGAAGGCAGCCAGGCGATGCTCTAAAATATAAACCAAGTCATTTCGCTATCTGCGTCAATTCCTTCACCATCTGCTACTAGCTGTATGTCCTTGGACACGTTATTTGTCATCTCAGAGTTTGGTTTCTTCCCGTATAAAGGTATAATTCTACATGATTTATATGAAGACTGAGAAAACATGAGAGCAGTATCTACCATAATGTCTAATGTACAAACCATAGTAGTAATTTTAAAAATTATGTATAATATAGAAGATAAGGAAAGTCACGAATATTTAAAACAGAAGCCTAAAGATTCGTGACCTTTACCCCTGCAAGTAGATGCTTTTATAGTGAGATTATGTACAAGTGAGGTACTTTGGGGTCTCAGTAACAAGATGCCTTGACTATCAACTAAGAATTAGCTTGAAATACCAGAGCTAAAGGAATTCATCTCTCATGTTAATCACTATACTTTCACCTTAAGCAACCACTTTCACTGGGGTCACCTACTAGCAACATTATATGTTTTCTTGGGAAGAAATCACTAATATCTATTATTTATTGACAATTTCAAAGTAATATTGAGCTAAGTTAGCTCCACTGATTTCATTCTGACATTTTATTTAATTACACTTCTTAGTGCCATTCAAAATCAAAGATCATAAAAAACCTTGCTGACTTTCCATGCAAGTAATAATGCAAAATGGAAACACACATTTTGCTTGCTCTAAATCAGACAAACTAGAGATGCAATTTGAATCACTGAGAGGTCCTTCCCAGCACATACACGGTCCAACATGTTCTTTTTCCCCTAACTTCTAGGGCACTTCCCCCTTTCCTTTTATATGAGAAAGTATGCAGGCTGACCCACGAAGCACTAATCTTTTTAAAACATATGGTCAAGCTACCAGTGAGAAATAATAGATGCATTACTTTAGTCTCCCCTTCCATTTGCCCTTTCAATGCCCCAGTTTGCCTAATGAAGGTGCGCTTCTCCTGGGAAAGCGGGTTTATCAGCACCCCCTTTTCTTCCAGCCTCCTTAGGAACTCACCCACAGAAAGAGTTCACAAAGCAAGTTAATCATGATCTTCCTCATATATTGCCTCCTGCACTTAACTTGTTGACTTAAAGGACAACCAGGATAACTCCTCCCCACATGTACCTGATATTTAGAAAGGGTTTGAGAATCCAGTTATTAGCAAAACCATGGCAATGATCCTCCCCAGGACTCACAAGAGAGCCCTATAAAGAACTGATTTTTAGTAGTATGAGTGAATAACAGATAATATTAGCTACCACTTATTGAGAATCTTCTACACGGAAGGCACTTTATGCATATTATCTAGTTTAACTCACAACTCCTCGACAACGTAGGTATTGTATAACCCATTTTGCAAAGGGAGAAACAGGGCAGCTTACTTAAACATGACTGGGACACATGAATAGCCAGTAATTGGTGGAGGTAGATTCAATTGAGTTTTTAACCCTGCAGAACACATTCTTTCTTCTATGTCATGCCCCTTGTTTATTATGTGTGGCTCTACCAATTTCTAACTATATAACTTTTTAGATAATTACACTTCTTTGCCTTGTTTGTAAAACAAAGATAACAATAAAAGATTGTTAATGAAAACTAAATGAGTGTGAATGTATTTTGTAGACTAATTGCTAAATAATTATTAAAAGTAGTCATTAAATAGTAGAGAATGTGACCCTGAGAGAGGGAAATTCTATTACACTCTAGTCTACACACTCTGATTAGCTTATTTCATTAATGATAGGACAGAAATGCCTTGGTTATTAGAAATGGTAATAAAGCTGAGCCAATCCTGGGCAAAGGCAGTTGCCTCTATAAATTACTAATTACTAGTGTAATTAGTGCAGCTGTAAAGCTTCAAATATTTATGACCCCTATCCCTCTAACTACAAACAAGTTTTAAAACTCTCAACATTATAAGGAAACACCTGTGCAGGCTAAAGTAGCAACTCCCAAACCTTTTGGTCTAAGAAGCACTTTATATGCTTAAAAATTATTGAGAATCCCAATAATTATGTGGGTTTTATATGAATAGTATATCAGAATTTAAAATATGTACTAGTTAATTTTGAAATGCTGATACAAATCTTAATGCTATATCAACATGTTAACAAAAACAACATTTTTTAAGGGGAAAAACTGTATTTTCTGAAACCAAAAATAATTAGGGGAAAATGACATTATTTTACATTTTTTAAAAAATCTCTTGCTTAATAAAAGACAGCTGGAATTTAATATCTCCTTCTAAATTCAATTTATTGCAATATACTGTTCTGTTGCAGCATATTAGAAGAAAATTCAGCCTGTCACAGATATGTAGTTGGAAAAGGAAGATGTATTTCCATAGTCTTTTCAGATAATTGTGACCATTTGCTACTACATCAAAACCCAACAAATAGAAATTTCTTAAGGCTTAGCTGTAATATGGAGTAAACCATATCAATGAATTTTTTTACTGTTACATTAAATTCATTGGTCTCTGTTAAACTTTAAGTGGATCTTTTACCCACACATGATTCTGCAACATCATGCAGTGGTGATTTGAAAAATATGTGTTCACTGAATCATGCAGATCTTCCAAATGTTGACACATTTCATTACATAATATAAAAAAAATCGTCTTTTAACATCACCACTGGTCTCATCAGAAAAGTCTTTAGAATTTGAAAGCCATCAAGATCATGATGACATGTACATTTTCCAAAATCTAATTTTTGCCTAAAAGCTCCAATTTTATTGCAACCAATATTGTCAGTTATTTCCTTGAAGTGACAGGCTCTTTATTTTTGAGGAATATCTGCCAAGTATCTAAGTCTGAATTAGCATAGTTTGTTTGTCAATCATTCTTTCAAGTAAATGTGATACTCCCTGAAAAAACTGCTAGTTCAGCTCAGAACCTGATCACATGCTGCACTTCAGTGTGGAACAGAAGTGCTTTATCTGTCCTTCTGGTTGTATTACGCAGAATTCTAAAGAGATATACACATGGGGTCAAAATGTAATAAAACCATTAACCTCAAAGCCCCCTAAAAGGGTTTTGAAAATTATTGGGGGTCCATGGGCCAACCTTTGAGAATCTCTGGGTGAAAACATCATATAAAAGGTTTCTGAAGACATGTCAATCCATTAGGGGGTTGAGATTAACATATCATGTATATTACAATCCCAGAACTCATTTAATATGACTTCATTGATCACATCTACTATTGGTCTCCTTTGAAAGCAGAATATGATAAGTTGGTAGGGTAGGGCATACAAAAAAGACTTTGATGGCAGTAGCAAAAAATCTGAAGCATAGACCCAGTGAGGATAGGCATATACGGTACTTACAATTTAATCCACACAAAAACCAAAAGGTAAAGAATCAAAGGAAGAAAAAGGCCTGGCATCCTAAACAGAATTATCATCTCAGACCCACTTTCATTTCCCTTACCCACCAATTTTCTTATCAAAAATAAAATGAGTAGAAAATTAATGGCAAAAATTAGGGGGAAATAGGCAATGCCTATCAAAATATTTCATACAACACTTCCCTCAGAGCCAGATACACAGTCATTCTCCAGTCTTGTCTCTGGGCTATGGAGTCCACACACAGACTACATCCTAAATGGCACAGAAGATCCAACTAGGGAGTTTGTAGCAAGACCGAGTGTCCTACACCCTGTCACCAGCAAAAGAAGAGCCCTATTGGGTGTTCCTGCTAGAACCAAAACCATTTTTCTGTTCTAGATTTCCAGACTTGCAGTTGTGCCAGTTCATTTTAATTTAGCTTTGGCTCTAGAATTAGCATTTAGTATCAGAGGTATCCACCTGCAGAGGATGTGATACACTCCAAATGGTCTCTTTCTAAAGTGAATGCCTCTGGCATCAAGAACATCATGTTGATTTTCATTGACCTAGAAATTCTATCTCTGGGAATATATTATTAAAAATAATTCTAATTACAGACAAACATCTAGCCACATGCTGTTGCATATCAGAGAAGCAAGTCAAGTTGCAGGGCAGGGTTAAGTAAACTTAACCTCTCCTTAGTGGATTAAAAGAAGCCATTATAAGTGACTAAGATACAAAAAAGCTTATGACAAATGGAAAAAGAAAGCCCCCAAATGGGTTGTGTGAACGCAAAAGGGGACACATACTAAACCGAGAAACTCAGGGGAGGACTGTAGGGCAGGCCTAACAAGCTCAGAGATCTACAGTAATTACATAGGATGGTCTAAACATAAAAATTCCTAACTGAAATCGGGTCAAGGTGGGTAGTCATATAGCTTCCTTGACAAAGGTCACTGTTTACCTTAAATAAGCAGGTCTACTGTCTTTTTGCACCTAAGATAACATACCTTTGAAATGTCAGAGTAATCTTTCCCTGACCCCTCAAGGCACAAACACCAAAGCACCAGACCAGAGAACCTCTCACTGCTATTTTGTTACCTGCATACCATCGCTGAATGCTGTAAATGTTAATTAACCTGTACCCACCAACGTAAAAGAAGTATGTGTCTCTATTTTGCTTTTTATCCAGTCCTCACTTTGCTTTCTCCTGCCCCCTTAATCTATCACTAGTGGATTTCACGTAACCCCCTCCCTTGCATACCCTCCTTTTATTCTAATGTGTAAAATAAACTGCAAAACTGCCATTCTCTGGAGCATTTTCTCAGTCTGTTGAGACTTTGCTTCCTGGTAATTATCGTCAGTGTGGCTCAAATAAACTCATAAAATTCTCTACAAGTTTGGACATTTTGTCAACAATTGACACAATATAAAAATTGGATAAAATAAAAAAATAAAACACACATACACACATCAATAGCGGTTGATAGTAGAGAGTAAACCATGGGTCATTTTTCTACTTTTAATTTATCAAATGTTTGTGGAGCAGCAACAAATAGCAGGCATTTTTCTAGATGACTGACACATATAGACCCCCCACCCTCTTGAAGCTTCCACTCTGGCAAATGGAGACAGATAAATAATCATATTTATTATGTCAAGTATGTAGTTTGTTTTAAGGTATTAAATACTATGAAAAAGAAGTACATGGAGAAAGCAGTTTGTGTGAGCTCAAATGTCACCTTCCCAATAAGGCATATCCTAACTTCCCCCAGGTATCTGATTAACCCTCATCTTCAAGTCTTGCAGAACGAATAGGGGATTCCAGACAGAGGAAACAGCTAGGGCAAGACTCTAGGGTGAGAATGTGCCTGGTGTGTTCAAAACAACAGCAAAGAGGTCAATGTGGCCAAGGCAGGGTGAGAGAAGGAAAGGTGGTAGAGAAGTCAGAGAGATAATGGGGGCTCAACATGTGGCCCTCGTAGGCCACTCTATAGACTACAGCTTTTACTGAGTGTAAAAAACCAAAAAAAAGGTGGGTTCATTATCGAAAATGAGGGGGAAAAATGCCTATTTCAATGAGGTAGACCTTATTAAACATCATGTCTTGTAGGTGGACAGCCCCTACCATCTTTTGATCATGAGTGCTTCAGCCGACTGCATATTGCTTTTCCCTTTCATGGAAGAGAGCTAGTCAGGGCCTCTCCAAGTGGCACGGAGGTGTCCTTTCCCAGACAAGAGCATGTCTGTAGATGAGTTTATCAGAGGCCTCAGGCTTTTCCTAGAATCTTCAAATGCCCACTCAGGCTCAGCAGTTGGTCCCTCATCTCAGCTGTGTCCCCCAACCAGGCTGCTGGGATTGAGGTTTCATCACAAGTGAAGCAGCATGTTTACTTACTATTCTCCGAAGCTTTGTCTTCTGTGCTGTCAGGTCATTTGCCAACTGAGTCACTTCATCCAGTTTTACATTTGCTTCATTCATGCGCTCTTTATACAGACTACAGAGTTTCTCAGCATTCACCTACAAGTTGAGAAAGAAGGGTTGGACATGGCTCATAGAATTCATGATGAATTAGCTGCATGAGGAGGGAGAGGAGGGGGAAGGGGGAGAGAGGGAAAGGGAAGGGGATGGGAA